ATTTTCAACCATACAACATGTCCCAAAAATAAGTTACGATGCAAACTTGTTTTTTTTTTTCAATGAAACACCATGTGTTTCTTAGCATTTTTGGATGTAGATTTTTATGACAATGTTTTACGCTAAACTTTTATTAGTCGATTTCGCTTAAGACGTTTTTTTGACGAAAACATGCACTTTTTAAAAATTCATTACACACAAACTAAGACATCTAGAACAAATGTTTTCTTACTTCTGCAAAGAAGAAAGTACAAAACTTAAAGCTGTAGCAATTTTTTAGTGTTTTGCATTTGTAAAGATTAATAAATTAAAAGTCAAATAACTCAAAAAATTTAAATTGAACACCCCATTTTTTATTTTTGCATCTAATAGATTGATAAATTGTATATCTAAAAAATAAACTTTTAATGTCTAGAATTGATAAATGAAAAGATATTTAACATTCAATATTAATTGTAGCAACAATGCCTATATCATTTTCTGAACATTGTTGATACTATGGCAACCATAGTAATTCCACCAAGGATCACTTATTCGTTTATTTATCCAAAGATTGTAAAAGTCGTTATAAATACTGAAATTCGAATTATTTTATTGAAAAAATAAAGAATAATAAAATAAAATAATAATAAGTTTAACATAAATGTAATTATTAAGTGATATTTCTCCCATCTTTTGGCCAAATGTGCACTTTTTGCCTTCTGTAACAATAGAAATTAACCTAAAGGTAAATAATTTTAGAAAGACAATTTAATAGTCTTTTAAATGCAAAAACAATAAATAGGATATACCATTAAATTTTTTAAAGTTATTGAACTTTAAACAAACGCCTTTATTTTTTTATCTTTGCAAATGCAACACACTAAAAAAATGTTACAACCTTATAGCTTGTACCTTCTTCTTTGCGGTAGTAAAAAATATTTTCAGATTTCTTAATTTTTGTGCAATAATTTTTTTAAAAGTGCATGTTGTCAAAAAAAACGTCTTATTTTTAAAACTATGCAAAATCGACCAATAAAAAACATTTTCATAAAAATCTACATCCAAAAATGCTAAGAAACATGTGGTGTTTCATTTAAAAAACACAAGTTTGTATTGTAACTTATTTTTGAAACACGCTGTATAGCTAAAAATAATTTTGTATAAATGCAAAACACAAAAATGGAACAAAACATGGCCCCTAAACCTAAAGCTAACGGCCCCTAAAATGTGTGTAACAATTAAGTTATTTTTAATTTCAATACTTGTTTTTTTACTTAAATATTTAAAATATTAAATATAAGCTTTCTTATAAATTATAACCCCAAAAACATCTACAGTCTAATAGAAGATTAAGATTATAAAAGTAATACCGGCCCTTAAGTATCTCTAAGATTTAAATTATATTGTTATAAAGTTGATTTTACTTTGTTAAAAATTGTCAAAATACATATTTGACAAAAATAACTAAAATTTTATACACTATGGTCCTTTGTAATGGCCCACAAAATGTGTACGGCTCTTAATTGAGTTCTCTTAAATAAAATTGTTAAAAAGTTTACTTCAATTTTTTTGTTGACGATATCTTTTTAAAACTTAAAGACCTACAATAGAGTTTGTCTTTTTACAAACACTTGTTTTTATGAGCATTGAGGCAATCAGTAGTATTTTTTATAAATGTTAAATGTTAAATACCAACAGTTTAATTTATAAATTATGGCAACATCTAGGGCTCTTGACAACATCTAGGATCATTTTTAAACTAAACTTTAATTTAGTTTGTTAATAGTTATAACACAAATTTCTCACAGGCCCTTAATCTTAAAAACTTTGTTTTATCTTTATTAGAAGATTTTTCTTTGGTTTTTCATTATAGATGTTTTGAAATAACGGCAGTTTAATTTTTTATTTATTAAAAATGTTTTTTAAATATGTTTAATAGTTGTTAAGCTACTAAATAAATAATGACAATATCTTTGGGATGATATAATTGCTGTCAGATAATTCAATCAGGGCGCCATAAAGCGGCATTTCAGTCCTTTTTAATCATCATATCCTGCCACAAAAACTACTACTCTCGATCGGTGGTAGTCTTTCACAAAGACCTAATCTAATGAAGATTTTTCTACAGTATCATCTTGCGGCATCTTGAAACTCGCTGACTCACTATATCGATGTTTCAGGTATTGGCCCTTCTGACAATTAATTATTTTCAGGAGAACCGGCTTTAGAAAAAACCAGCGATAAAAATCCTGTTTTTCACTATTTGAACACTTAAACATGCTTTATGGTGGTTAATTGAAGAAAAAAGATGATTGGTTTTTAATAAAATAAATTAAACACTTGAAATATGGTATTCTATTACACGTGGCAAAAAAAAACAAGAGCAGAAATTTTTGAAATTTTGGGAACCAAAAACGGGCCCAATCTTCTTAAAAAAATCAAACTCCAATTTAATAAATTCTTCTTCTATTTTAGGCAAACAATACCATTACATGTTCCCTTTTTTTGACCAACAACGTAAGCGATGTTCTTCAAGCAACTTTCTTCTCTTAACAATATCTCAAAGTGTCGAAACTGACCCCACAATCCACAATAAACTTCTTTTACAACACATTGGTATAATTCCCTTTCTTGTATGTTTCCTCATTTTCCACGTGTAACGTGAGATTCACACTTTTAGTGTCGGTGTTAATGCTTTTGGCGCTTTTCACGACGATTCGTGAAAAATTGTTTATTTGTGAGATTTTGAAACAGTAACGGTGAATATTGTTTACTTTCGAGACGAGTTGAGTTATTACTTAAATGTTGTGTTGATAGTGAAGAATTGGTTCATTCATAACACTGGTTCAGGGTCATTTATTATTAACTTTCATTGGAAATAATTAATCGCTGGAAAATTGGGCATGAGACGCGACTTTCAATAAACTTGATTCGAAATTCGATTCTTTGGTGATGAAGAGTGTGACCAATTTTTTACTGGTCATTGGACAAACAAAATTAGACATTTCCAAACATGGAGATGAGAAATAAATTACCATGACATTGCTTAGGAATCTTGACATTAATTTACAAAATTATGAAAATTTAGAGAAAAAAATTCTGTGTTGCAAGCAGCATCTTTTTCTAAAGTTAAAACGTTAAAACAGTAAAGAGAAAGAATAGACAAAAAATACAAAATTTGTCATTAAAATACAAAAAGAAAAATCCTGGCGCTATACAGAACTTCAAAATTATAAAAACTAATTGTAAAGTCAAAACAATTTAAACAATATGTAGTTTTCGATTTTAAAATTTGTTACAATTTATCAGATGTTTACTTTCAACAAAATTCTATGAGATTTTGGTTTTAATTTGTTTTTCTCTGTTTTATTCATCTTACTATACTATTTGGTACTTAAAAAAATAAGTAGTCAAATTCTTTAATTAAAATTTTTTAAACAAAATATAACAAAATTATTATCGTTTGAAACATTTTATTATTTCTTACAAAAAACATGTTTAATATACAACGAGTCTTAGAAATAAGTACGTAGTACATTAATTTTCTCCAGTTATAGATCTCCTCAATCGAAATTCTTTGAGATATTTTGCACCGTTCAATTCAGTTAAAAAGAACTTAACTTCTGTGTTTTCGAAAAACTGGTACATAAAAAATTGCATTTGACGAGTTCTACACGAGATTAAATTAATGTATTTTTTTACGAACTGTATATTTGAATGCTCTGTACTGTGTACGATAAAAAAATCATAAGTGGGTACTATTTATATTTAAACATTTTTGTTGATCCTAGGTACCAAATTGTGAACACAGAAATAACAAAAAAAAAACAAATCTGAAATATTGTAATTACAGAAAAAAATATTTCATGAAAAAAGATGAACAAAAAATTTATATAATTATTAATTGGAGCTACTTGAAACTAGATCTATTAAAGTTCTTATTTTTATTTTTTTACATAATTTGTAACATGTAAACCATTAGATGTAAATACTGTTGTTTTCAAATCCAACATTTTGTTGAATTTTTTTTTTTATAATATTATTTTTAAGATACTCTCTTTAATAATTTAATGGAGTAGGAACTCAGAAATATCTTTTACACTAATGAATTACCAGTTTCGCATTATTTAATACATTTCAGAGGCTACAATAAATTCATACATAAAAACCTAACCATTGTTTGATATACATAGTAGTTATTTTTATTACAAGGGAGGAAAGTGTATCTTTTCGTATCACCAAGGAAGGAAAACATACTTTGCTCCAGTGTAATACATATAATTATTCCTACGACCCAGCAAGAAAAATTTCTCTTGATCGCCATTAAATCTCATGTTTTCCCGTTTCTATTGGAGAGGTAAAAAAGACTAAAATTTTTACTTTCCTGGAATAATTGGCATTTTTCCTTGATGGAAAAACTTACTTTCCGTTAGGGTAGTAGAAACAAGGGTTTTCCTACACTCTAAACAAACTTGTGTTGTTCATGTGAAACATGAACTAATTAGTAATATGTCTAACGCAATAAATTCTAATCCGAAAAAATCCAGAAACTAACACTAGTGACGATAAATATTGTAACAAAAAATATTTATAATAATAACTGGCAGTCAATTACGATCTGGTGCCAAGTTCAAGATCTTTAACACAGATCGCCCAGATTACATAAACACACAGCATTTATTTTCGTAAGGTGTTAACCGCCATAAATGATAACCTTCTATAAAATTTTTATTTGTTTTTCAATCTTTACGACATTTATATTGCATATAAATATTAAATACGGAAGCGGATATAGCCCAAAATAGATTCGACTTTTCCTTCATTTTTTTCCGATAGGTAAATAGTAAAAACTGCATTTCCTTTCGACGAGTTTCTCTCGTTTTTGCGCCAACAAAACACCCACTCATTTGACAAAATGCAATAATTAGTCCATGGCAATAGATCAAATCTTTGCAAAAACCAAAGATTTACGACTTGTAATTACTCGAAAGTGTGTAATTGAATGAATGTTCGCTCACCTGATTTACCGACTCGGGGACTCCCTAAAACCACAACCCTGATTCTGTTAACATTCGTCATGTCTTGTCCGACCATAAAGAGCATCTCACTCGCGAAAAACCGACATAATCACTATTATAAAAGGTCAATGGCAAGGTCGCTGACCACTTGATAATTAATCGAAGAGTCTTCCTCAATAATTAGTAATCGCACGTGCTTGATGCCCCTCCGATAAGAATAAAAGTCTATTGTTGCAAGAAGTGCTCTCGCTTTCGCGCACGACCGCAGACTGAACGCTAACACACGACAGTGATGCTCTTGCAACTCCGGAGAGAGAACTGATGCTGGATGTCATATCGGCTGCACCCCACTTTTTTCACCTGGTGTCTGCACGACAATGAATGATTGCCTCGAGGTGCTTAATGATGATACACGCGGGAGAATTATCGGAGTGATTATCGGACCAGGCGGGTGTCGGATGGCTAGGATCGGGGGGCCCCGCGGGCTGTTTGGACAGGACATGGTTTGCTGGGAAATTTGACACGGAAGATACAACTTTGGGTTAAATTATTGCACTAGAAGCTATTCTCTAAAAATCTGCTACAGTCTTTAAGATTCGAGACGTTAGTATATTGAAAACAAGATTACTCTCTTAATATGCAACAGAATTTCATGTATTATACATCAAAACAAAGGTTTTTTAAATCTACTGGCCGATACGTTGAGATTTTTCTAAAAAAATTAATACTTTTAAAAAAAGAACAAAAATGCATAAATGGTGAACTTGAAAACAACTTTACTCAGTCATTTTTCAAGTAATCAATTTTGGTTTTTGTAAGATAATTTAAAAGAATATTCTATAGGCCGATACGTTGGCCTTTTTTTAAAAAAGTGTTTAGTTTTTGAGATATTGTGATTGATGTAAAAGTCACGATATTTAACGGTAGACCTAAAGATTCGTTTTAGGGTTTTGGTATTTATTACAAAATATTAATTCTTAACAAATTCAACAAACACCATGTAATAAAACACTGTTGTTTTTAAAATATTAATAAATATATTTTGCCCAAAAATGCCTCCTAGTTCATTGCTTTTGCCACTAGAGGCGTTGCCAGCGCCGCTTCTGTGGAGGATCGAGGGTCTCTACCATCCCTTGTACCAACCCAAGCAAAGGACGGATTATGGTCATCTTTATCATGTAATTAGCATAATAATTTTCAGTTATTATTATTAGAAAACTAGAAGCAGAAACATTTGACGTGAAATGAGAAAATAAGCTAATTTTGTTGGAATTGTACTTCTACCGAATCTGCCGTGTTTAGTAGACCTGACCATTTTTTTTCGATAAAATGTGTGCCTTGTTGGGATCTAAGATTATTTATTATCTCTGAGAGAGTTTTAATAAATAGCAACAATAATCAGACAAAATAATTTATCATACAACAAATTTACACCTATTATTAATTAAACAAATTTCGCCACCATAGTAACTAAATTGACTTATCCGTTCTGAAAAACTGTATTTTGGGTATTGAGTACCTAATATAACCATTTTTCATACTATTTTATTGGGTCCAGCAAAGACTCAGCTTGTTTCGAGAGCGTATACAAAAAAGTTTATTACTTTTAAACAAATGCTCGCCAGAAGTCTAAAACAAATAGTTTTTTAGCGAGGCAACTATGAAAAAAAATCATTGACAAGATCGTTTTGTTTTTTAATTTATCGTTGTTCTTCATAAAAAATGATTCGGCCTATCACAATCTTTTTTTTATAAGACATAACTATAAATGAAAACTTCGCATTTTCCTACGGTTAGTGGTACCCATAAATGTGGTTAATGGCAAAAAATTGTAATGGAAAACAAGGACACTTTTAAACTAAAAAAACTTAGTTAAAAAAAATCATAAATGCCCCTCCAAAGAATATGAATTTTATAGTGCGCATTGTAAATTTGATATTTAGATGTACAGACACGGAATTTTGGACGATTTGTCATTCGGTTGACATAAAATGTAAAACTGACTTTATGTGCAATTTTTTTTTGATTTTTGAAGTTTTTATACTGACAGCTAAATAAAAATAACAATAATTCAAAATAATAATAATAATAAAAATATAACTATGTAAAAAACGTTGCAGTACGTACTGCAACTGCTGGCATTACTGTATGTATTAAGAAATTGACGCCAAAAATAAATTTCAACTAAAACTTTCAAGTCTTAGATCCAAACGTCAATGATAATGACACTAAAGCGTGGCTTACGTTGAAATTTTTTGAACTTGATGTCCAAAATTTTCAGTCCACAATTGCATAAATTTGTAATTTTTTCCATTGTAAAAATTTTTATTTATGGAATTATATGTTTTGTTACCCCATACAAAAATTTAATTTCCATGGAAAATGGAACATGTGAGTTTTCTAATTTAATAAATATGTACAACCTATCAGGTAGATAGAATAATTATAATTAATTTTTTTTTTAAGATCCAAAAGTCAAAACAATTTCTAAGAAATTTCAGGAGCAACTTCCACAAATTCAAGGCATAAAAATATTAGCGAACTGATCTTTTACTTTTATTACAATTTATTACTCTTACTAACCCAACCCCTGAACGCAGGTAAAGACTGAGTTTGGACCCTGTCTAGGGTGTATTGCTGGTCGCTTTTAAAAAAGAATAATAAGTGCTGAAAACCGACTTGCCCGTTCACTCCCGGACAGCCTTAAGTTGGTATATTCAGGGGCGGACTGGCCAGGGGTGCCGGGGTACCACAGCATCTTACGGGCCCCCAATTATGGTAGGCTTATTATGTCAAGAGCTCATTGAAATAATATCAATTATTTTAAATTTGTAAATAAACTTTCCACAATGCTTAGAGCTATCCATGAAGTGCTGAACCGCGATTTTCGCAGAAGCAAAGTGTGTTTAGTTTGAAGGAATTAAAAAAATGCCATCATAACAAATAAAACTGTAATTTCTATAATTTCAATTATTTTAGCTCAATTTTGTTTATAAGGTCTTACACGCATGTAAGAAAAATTCTACGCGGACTTATACAAGTGATTCAAAAATTTGTGTATTAATTTTAATCACGAATACTCCTCTACAAATGAGCACAGATAGCACAGTAATTAATCCAACTCATCAAGCAATAGAAAAATTACAGCTTTTCTAATCATCAACAAATAAACAAATGTTCCTTTGGATTTAATGAAATTTACTTTAAATATGACAGCATTGACAGCGATGTCATTCGTAGTGGATTCTTTCCAAGGTACACTCAAAATTTATAAATTCTGATTTTGTAGCGCGGTGTAGAATTTAATTTAAACTCAAATAACTCGAGAACGGTACATTTTGGCGATATGAAACTACCTTTATTTAAAAAAAAAAATGTTTGGCTGTATCAAAAACAGAAATTAATAAGCCGAAAAAAGTTATGATCCCAACACTGGAAGGACCCATTGCTACCGGAAATGTATAGCTTCTAACAAGACTTCCGTTTACACCAAATCAAAGAGTGTCTTTTTGTCCACGCAAAATTTAATAATAATCGGATAAACGGTAACAAAAATATTTCCAGAAAATCATTTTTTCATAACGACTTTTGGAAAGTTGTAATTTTTCTATTTTTTGAGGTGGGTCAATAAATACTGTACTATCTATTCTCAATTGTAGAGAGGTGTTCGTAATTAAAATTATGCCACACATTTTTTAGCCAACCGATATAAAATATCCTTTTTACTTAAATGAATTTAATTTTAATTTTTTATTTTTTTTATTATTATTAGTAGGCATAAATAATGGAAAAATCTAAATATAAGTATAAATTTGGTGCACAGAAACGAAAAGAAAAACAAAAATTAAAATTACAAGCAGCCTCTGAACACGTTCATCTAAAAACTTTTTTAGATTTTTTTTTCGGTTATTAAACCATCACGATTTCAACTGACGTCACAATCTCAATAGAGGAAACAAACTCCTTCAAAAAAATACTACATTAAGTGACAAGTAGTTTTTATACATATTTTTATTGTATTGTATATTGCGCCCTCATTTCAACTTTTAGCACTCCATGTAAAAATTTGCCAGTCCGCCCCTGGGTATATTCCATAGCTAATAGAGCTCTGTATATAAATTTTTTAAAGTCCTTATAGAATTGTATCAAAATTGGTATTCTCTAAGCGTCTATGTGAGCATTCGAGTTGTAGCGCTGTAATTACCCTAAAGACTGTTTTTTTATTAAGTGGAAATGTCAAACAGTCTAACAAATTTATTCATGGTAATTTTATTTAAGGGAGTTGGCAGTTGTAGTTTTTAATTTAATTAATAAAAAATGGCATTAAACTTCAGCAAAAAAATCGTCTAAGAAAATTTAGACATGAAGACACAAAAACGGAGACAAATTGAGTATCGCGAACAGTTTTTGGAAATTTGAAGACGAAAAGTGTGCAAGCAGAAGTCAGAAAAAGACCACCGCTAAAGTTTAGACACAATTTGTAATGTAGGTTTGCTAAACATTCTCTAATTTTTAGTAAGAAATTAATGAGAATACAACGTAAACATCAAGAACGAGTTGAAGAAGAAGTAACAATTTTGAAACTAAAGCCGAAGGAGAATTTAGAAAATGCATCAACTTTAGCTCATATTAATAAATTACACAAAATTTATTGTCGATTTTCATAAAACCTGCTTGTATCTTTTTCAAAATAACTTTTTTCACTCTTTTTTATTAAAGTTTTTGTAGTAAGAAGATCATTTTTGTTCACAACATTACCTTCTTTCTTCTTCATTTAACAATAAATATAATGCAATTAGTGCAATATTGTTACGATCCATCACTGAACTATGTACCTATTATTAACTTTACACGATACCAATAATTATAAGAGAACAAAAATTAGCATCACTGGCGAAATACGGAGAGAAGTACAGAGTGGTTATAAATGATTTTCATCTAGCCAGCTGTGAATTTTCCATGTAAAATAAAAAATGCCGCCTTACGAAAATAGGGGTACCTACTTGGTGTAACTCAAAATTAAAAAATCTCCGTTTACTAAGCGTCCATTTCGAAAATAGACTTCAATTATAAACTTGTTTTATTCCAAAGTATACATTATTATCAATTATTATTGGAAATTAGTTGAAACAATAAAAATTTAATTAACAATTTATTATTAATTAATAAGTGACACTAATGACAGAACTAGAGCTTTCAAAAAAGTAGAGCGGCACAAATAAAGTTACATGCAAAAAAATTCCAAGCTGGCTAGATGAAAATCATTTATAACTCTGTACTTATAATAAATTATTGAGGAGCAACATTGTTACTATGACAATATATCGTTATAAAAATTATAAGTCTTTACTTGACTCACCCTGGACA